GTTGGGCAATCCTACTTCCGTAGTGATACTGCCTCGGAAACCCAAGGAGGGGTCGCTATGAGTCGGGGCCGACTCGACGGCAAACAACAATACACCTTGTTTGCATGGTCCCAGCCTCACAAAGGTGCCATGTACCGTATTTACATTGTTATGAAGCTATCCAATTCTCTTAGTGGGCCACAAGCCCCTCCTTTGCATAGTCCCACCCAGTCATGTGGTGAGAGTTATAAAGACTATGGTAGAAGAGCCATAAGATTCATTGCACAACAGCAAGTTGATGATAACAGAACAAAATGTTGCCTGGTACTATGCCATCTTCATGATTGTTGGTATGTTTCGAGTCCATCATGTGGCTGTTGTACAGTGCCTTCTAATCTAGGGGCTCATCTTCCAGGACTACATGGGACAATATTGTGTTGTAATCTATAAGGTTCTCATTGGCTAATTTTCAGTAGTAAATTAATGGGCCTTTCGTCCTAGTCCATTTCAGTCTGTGCAGTGCAATGAATTACTGATTCTGTGGGAACAGAACAAGGATACGGGCAGGAGATCAGCAGGAGACAGGGCGGTGGGTTTCCTGGTCCATGAAGGGAGGAAGCTGAGTGTCTTCAGACCAGAGGCTTGCTGGTAGAGCAGTCTGCACTTGGTGGAGCTAGGTTTGCTGACCCACACAGCTAAACTGCTGAGTACTTTTGGGCTTCCTGGCATGTGGGGTACCTCCAGGTACTTAACTGACAGAGCTCAAAGAGCTTTCTAACACTTGCTGGACCACAGGACCACAGCAGAGGCCAGGCCAAGGACAGAAAGACCTACCTGCAGGAATGGCTGAGAAGAGGCTGTGGTGATTGCAGAATGGTATATTGAGTTTTCCTGAACCTGAATTGTACACTGTTACTTCACTAATAAATTCGATAACTGTGAATACAGTCTGTGAATTCTGTGTAGCCATTGCAATGAATTATCAAGTCCAGCAGAGAGGCGAAGAGTGCTATGGGAGGACGGTTGCTATCAGAATTGGTGAAATGGTTGGAGGGTGGAGTCATGTCTGACCTCTGCCTCATAGGAATCAGCTGTGGGCTGTTGATCTTGATCCTTATCCCACCTTGTGAAGTTACAGATCAGACCACACCTCTGCCCCTGGAAGGTCTTCTGAAACCAGTCCACCAGGGTGAGCCTGCTGACACTTGAAAATCCCAGTGGCATAGTTTCCAGCATCACAACAACATACAAGCCACCACAATATGACCAACTGACGAACAGGAAACACTGATAGGCAAAGGTATCTCCTTTTTATTGATCTTTCCTCCCTTTCTTACCCTTCTTTTTAAATACTGTGCTACCCACAAAAGGCTGATTGTATCATACTTGACCACCATCTGCTCTATGCTTTAGCAATATATTGTGTGGTTTTGTCTTTTGTTTTTTTCACTCTTTATATTTCTGAGATTCATCCATGTAACTGCATGTAATTACAGCTCATTCAGTGTCCTTTGCTGTATAATATTCCATAATGTGAATGTGCCACAATGTAAAAATTCATTCTCTTATTGATGGGTATTTGGGCTGTTTCCAGCTTTGTTTATTTCAATGCTATTGTTATGTACATTTGCAAGAATTTCTCCAGAGTATATACCCAGGAGTGGAATGCAATTTTTCTAGCTTTCTTTCCCAAAGGGGTTACGTGAGATGTGGTTTTCATTTGCTTTGCTCATTTAAATAACCTGGGCATCTTTTCCTGTGGGTACACACTGATCTCCATGACTCATTTTAACTGTTTCACAGTGTGCTTTAGCAGGACTGTGTCTTGGTTTACTTAACCAGTCCCCTATTATTATTATTTTAAAAATTATTGTACTGTATTTTTGGTGAAAGTTTACAAAGTAAATTTGGTTCTCATTTAACAATTTTTATACATATTTTTCAATGACATTAGTTATTTTTCACAATCGGTCAGAATTCTCATTATTTCCATTCTGGTTCCTCTGTTGCCATTAATCTAGCTTCCTTGCCCTCCCCCCTTATCTTCTCATGTTTGCTTTAGGGTTAATATTGACTATTTGGTCTCATATAAATAATGATTTAAAGGAGTACATTATGCACAGGTGATATTGTTTATTTTATGAGCCAATTTATTATTTGATTGGAAGGTGACCTCCGGGATTGGGTTCACTTCCAAATTTAAAGTGTATCTTAGGGTGTTAGTCTTGGGGGATCCTCTAGTCTCTGCTGGTCTACTAAGTCTGGCTTTAAAAAAAATTTTTTTGCACTGTTCCCTCCCTTCTCACCCCTGGTGACCAACAAAGAAAGTTTCCCTCCATATATAAACCTTTCCTTGACTTTTTACAATAAGGAACTAATACAATATTTGTCCTGTGATTGACTTATTTCACTTGGCATAATTCTTTCCTTTTTAGGAATCTGAGTTTTGCATTCTTCTCCCATTCTATCTGGCACTTTCTGTTGTGCCACTTGTTAGAATGGTTGTCGGTGGTAACTGGGCACTAGCTAGTTCTTCTGGTCTCAGGATAGATGAGGTCATGGTTCGTGCAAGCTATTAGTCCTGTGGACTAGTTTCTTCTTTGAGTCTTTTGATTTCCCAGTCCCCTGGTAATGCCTACTTGTTATTTTTGACTATCACATAAAATGATGTAATGAATATTCAGTAAGTTAAGAATAAACATTTTCATGTTTACAACCCTATGAGGTTGCTCTTCTCCACATTTTCCAGAGGCTGTCAGAGGGTAAGTAATGTGCCAAGGCCACACAGCTAGTAGATGGCAGAGCTGGACTTGAATGCAAGCAGGGCACCCTGAGCCACGCTCCCAACCACTGTGCTGCTCAACCTCGCACAGTATCTTCAGTCTTCACTCTCAGTCCCTGGGACCCTGGTCGCAGGCCCTACACCTTTCCCCGGCGGCATCGTCCGGAGGCGGAGCCACCAGCTGCCCCCAAGGCTCCTCCCGCCTCCCAGGTCAGAGCGGCGGCGCTAGGACCCAGCAGCCCCGGGCTGCGGCGGGGCCTGGGCGGCCTGCGGAGAGCGGACCCGGGCTCTCGGCTCCTGGCGCCATGTGAGGGGTCTCCGGGGCCGCGGGGGGCCGGGCGCTCCTCCGAGGAGGTGAGCCGGCGCTGCACAAGGGCAGGCAGAGGGAGTGGGGTGCTTCCTACGCCCGGGGAGGGGGCTTGAGGGTCTCCGGGGACAGGGTTGCTGTGTGGCTCCGGAGCTCCCCACATCATCTCGCCTTGGGTATTGACGCCCCGATATCCCGGTCCTCGCGCCCAGAGGCTATCGCGGGGTTCGCTGGGCCCTCTGCCGCTGACTACCCCGTTAGAGCTCAGGGACCCTGCCGCCGTCTTTACCCCCTTTCTCTTCCCAGCTGGGGGCTAGGGCTCCGGGAATGCGGGGGGCTTGGGAGGGGTTCCGCGCGGAGGGCGCAAGGATGAGCCCGTCTCCCGGGTGGATTCACGGGCTCCGTGCCCCCCCCCCCCATCATCTTGGAATTCTAAGACACCCCCTCCCCTTTATTCCTCAAGTCCTCCTCCCACGCGGTTTGTGGGGGTGTCCCGGCCCTGCAGGACGGCTCCCCGGGCTGGAAGAGGCAAAGCCCCCAAACTGAAACAAAGTGTATCTTCCACCCTCAGCCCACGGAGGCAGCCTCCGCGCCCAGCCTTGGGGCTGAGTGCGTGCTCCAGGCGCAGCTATCTCGGCTGCTGCCTCAGCCTGAGCAAGTCTCTCCCTCCACAACCCAGTTGCCTGGTGCTCAGCGAGGCGCTGGGCACGCACACGGTGGCCTCTGGCTCCTCTTAGCCCAGGGTGATCGTCAGGGAGACCCTGTCAGTTTTGGGCCTGGGCTGCTCCCTGTAAACAAGTCTCCTCCTCATGGCTCTACTACCCAGGTCTGTGCCTCTCTGGGCGACCCTGCCACTTTTCTTCTCTGAACCTTAGTCTGTTCCCGGAGAAGATAAACCTCTGCCTCGGGGTGTTTCCACCAGTGTTCTGTGCTTGTATGGTCCTTAGCAGGCTTCCAGCACAGGCTGCTTGATACTAGAGGAAGTCATTGGTCTTGGTGATGGGGTGGGTGTGGAGCTGGCCTCCAACACTGTAACAGCAAGACCAACAACACTGGCACTGACTGAGCTTCTCTTGCTACCTCAGAAAGCTAGAACTGGGAACTGGGCTCCTCTCCCAGTTGACTTGAATCCTTCCAACAGCCTCCTGAGCTAATTGCTCCTATTCTTCCCATTTCACAGATGAGGAAACCGAGGGTCAGAGAGGTCCCATGGCTTGCCCGAGGCCTCCCAGCCAGTAAGTGGTAGAACTGGGATTCGCACTTGCACCTGAGATGCTGTACTGACCATGGCCTTCTCAGAGCAGAATTGTGACGGGGCTGACCAGGGGGACGGTGGTCCTGGTTGAGGACACTACTCAGGCAAAGGTGGGAAAGTGAGGGGTGGGCCTGGGAACTAGTGTATCTGGAACGTGGGGTGTTTGCAGGACACGGTAGTGAAGGGAGACTCAGCTCAGAAAGGTGTCTGGACAGTGAGTGAGGGCCTTGAATGTCAAAGGCCTGGGGTTGTTGGGGCAGACACTGGGCATCTGGCT